GTCAGCCTCCAGTAAAATGAGTGCTGAGCAAGAGATAATCTCAGGGCTCTTTTTATGTCTACTATTCAGAATTGAAGGTATATTTTTGTGTCATCATAAAACAGAATTATCTCTTTATTGGAGAATAGTTTGAGCCAAGGCCAAAAAACTGGTCCTGTATTAGGACCAAGTGTGAATTTGCATGATCTTAAAATAAACAAATGTTATAAAAGTGCTAAAGAATCTGATTCTCTATAACTGTGAGTCCATAGCTGGTGGACAGTTAAGCAGGCCCTATTTGAGGAACTCTCTAAAATGTTTAAAGAATACTGGACTAATTTCAGCATGCAAAATGAGCGAGTCTGCTAGTCACACACTTCAGTGGTTATTAAAGTTATAACCATGGTCTGTGTCTTTCTGGAGTCACACCAGCATCATGTACACTAACCACTAATGCCATTTCCCTGTGCTACTCTTAAGAAAAAATGTCATTGCCCAGTAATAGAGATTTGTTCCACATGAGACAAGCTCAGGAATCATTCATTTATTCTTCAGTGAACACTGAGAACCTGCTATGTGCAATGCCTGATTTCACCTTACATATGAATCTGACATATATTTAGTCACTGGATGTTCATACACAAATGCTTTCTAACATATACTCATGTAACTATTAATATAAAAAATGGGCTAAAGTGATAAGTAAACACCTTGGAAGAGATGCATATTAATAGTCAGAGAAGGGAAATATCCCAATTGAGGGCTCAAAGCAAGACTTTTATGGAACAAGAAGCATATAAAACAAGTCTTAAAGCCTGGCTTAGATTCAGGCTTGCAAAAATGACAGGAAATAGCAAAAGCAAAGGAAGAAAGGCTAGAAAACACAGCACATGTGATAATAGAAATAACACCAATTGTGACATCTAACTTACCAAGTGTTTACTACATGCTAAGAACTATAAACACACAGTCTTGCTGAATCCTCATTACTCTAAGGGATTGATTTTATTAGTATTCCTGTTTTCAAATGGGGAAACTTGAGGCCCAGAAAACAAGAGCACCTTGCCCAAGCTCTCCCATTAAAAGAAACTATCTCCCATTAGTAGATAGTTTAGGTCTGCTGAAGCCTGTGGTTGTGTTAAGAGGAAGAAAAATATAATCTGAGAGATTTATTGTGGTTAGATGATAAACAAGCTAGAATATTAGACTCTTCCAATGAATAAAACTTAAGAGGAACACAAATGAACTAAATGAGAAATAAAATGTAAAGCCTTCTATATATTAAAACAAACAAACTATGCTCCATATCTTGATTAAAATGACCAAAAATCAGTACTCCCTTAACTCTTTTGTCAATATCAAAGCAGAAAAAGGCAGGCATATATGGAAGGGATATGACTACCTTTCCCAGTATGACCTCCTACTTAAAAAAAAAAAAGAATTTATTTATTTGTTTGGCTGTGGCATGTGGGGTCTTCATTGTGTCACATGAGATCTTTCATTGCAATGCAATGACTCTCGAGCTGCAGCACACTGGCCCAGTTGTTTCAGGAAATATGGGATCCTAGTTCCTAACCCAGGGATCAAATCCATGCCTCCCATAATGCAAGATGAATTCTCAACCACTGGAACACCAGGGAAGTACCTACGACTTTCTGCTTTTGCAGGTGACAAAACTGAGACTGAAAGACATCTAACTCTGATTAAATATTCATTCAGTTTAAATAAAGAATAAATATAGATATGTGGGTACATAGCTATATAATTATTACTAATTATTCCCATACTACTGTTGGGAATGGACAACTAAAGATGATACTTAACACTTAAAATCTCCTGGGACTCATAGAATCTATGCACTGCTCAGAAAACAATTAAGTCGTGTTCTTTTATGGGCTTTAATCATAGTAGTGTGATTATATCACTCTACTGAGTTGTGAACCGTGAACTTCCACATGTTCAAGCTGGATTTAGAAAAGGTAGAGGAACCAGAGATCAAATTTTCAACATCTATTGGGTCACTGGAAAAGGAAGAAAGTTTGAGAAAAACATCTACTTCTGCTTTATTGACTACGCCAAACCCTTTGACTGTGAGGATCACAACAAACTGTGGAAAATTCTTCAAGAGATGGGAATACCAGACCACCTGACCTGCCTCCTGAGAAATCTGTATGCAGGTCAAGAAGCAACAGTTAGAACTGGACATGGAACAACAGACTGGTTCCACATCGGGAAAGGAGTATGTCAAGGCTGTATGTTGTCATCCTGCTTGTTTAACTTATATGCAGAATACATGTGAAGTGCCAGGCTGGATGAAGCACAAGCTGAAATCAAGATTGCTGGGAGAAATATCAATAACCTCAAATATGCAGGTGAAACCACCCATATGGCAGAAAGCAAAGAAGAACTAAAGAGCCTCTTGATGAAAGTGAAAGAGGAGAGTGAAAAAGCTGGCTTAAAACTCAAGCTCCAGAAAACTAAGATCATGGCATCTGGTCCCATCACTTTTTAGCAAATAGATGGAGAAACAAAGGAAACAGTGAGAGACTTTATTTTCTTGTACTGCAAAATCACTGGAGATGGTGACTGCAGCCATGAAATTAAAAGACACTTGCTCCTTGGAAGAAAAGTTATGACCAACCTAGACAGCATATTCAAAAGCAGAGACCTTACTTTGCCAACAAAGGTTCATCTAGTCAAAGCTATGGGTTTTCCAGTAGTCATGTATGGATGTGAGAGTTGGACTATAAGGAAAGATGAGCACCAAAGAATTGATGCTTTTGAACTGTAGTGTTGGAGAAGACGCTTGAAAGTCTCTTGGACTGCAAGGAAATCCAATTAATCCTAAAGGAAATCAGTCCTGAATATTCATTTGAAAGACTGATGCTGAAGCTGAAACTCCAATACTTTGGCCACCTGATGTGAAGAACTGACTCATTGGAAAAGCCCCCGATGCTGGGAAAGATTGAAGGCAGGAGGAGAAGGGGACAACAGAGGATGAGATAGTTAGATGGCATCACCGACATGAGGGACATGAGTTTGAGTAAGCTCTAGGAGTTGGTGATGGACAGGGAAGCCTGGCATGCTGCAGTCCATGGGGTCACAAAGAGTCGGACATGACTGAGCAACTGAACTGAACTGAAATGAGTTGGTTGGTAACCAAACAAACATAATGTGTTTAACACAGACAGATCCCCATTAAGTGGACACATTAATTCCCTCCTCAAGGTCTTGTACATAAAAGGTGCACCAGTACCTGGAAGGATGTTCTGTTTTCACAGAGACTAATAAAGTGGCTTAGATTTCTCATTTGATCAGCTGTTTAGGAATTAATGTCCACTAAGTAATGTTCATTAATAAATCAAAAATGTGTATTATCTAACATAAATATTTTCTATAAAATAAGAAATTCCTCTTAGATGTTTATATGCTCCCACCAGTAAGTTTGTACTCCATAGATATATACTGATTTTATGCATTTATTGCACTTCAGTAAATAATCTGCCTGCAATGCAAGAGACCTAGGTTCTGTCCATAGGTCAGGAAGATCCCCTTGAGATGGAAATGGCTATCCACTCCAGTATTCTTGTCTAGATAATTCCATGGATAGAGGAGCCAGGCAAACTGCAGTCCATGGGTTGCAAAGAGTCGGACACGACTGAGCAACTATCACACTTTATGTGTTTATATTTAGTTTCTTCTTTTAGCAGTTATTTTGAAATACAGTTGATAGTTAAAACACACATCCCCAAAGGGACACCTATTTAAGGTCTCTGTGAGTTAAATTAGCAATGTTTTTATCTGTCTTGAGCAATACCACTTAGTATGTTGCATGCTCAGTTGCTCAGTCGTGTCCGAATACTTGTGACCCCATGAACTGTAGGCCACCAGGCTCCTCTGTCCATAGGATTTCCCAAGCAAGAATACTGGAGTGGGTTGTCATTTCCTCCTCCAGGGGATCTTCCCGACCCAGAGATCAAACCTGCACCTCCTGCGTTGGCAGGCAGATTCTTTACTACTATGTCACCTGGGAAGACCCGCTTAGTTTATTATAGTGCTGATAGTAATAGCTAGCGTATACCGAATATTTTTTATTATCATTTGCACTTTTATTTTACTTTCACTTTGATAAAATCAAAAGCAGATCTTAGATCTCTCCTCTTATTCTGTGATTATGATATTGTACTCCAATACCTTTAAGAGTGTAACAGTCACTGAGGTGACCCAGCACATGTGTTTCTTGAAACCCATAGCTTTCATGTTGGAATCTTATAATTAAACTAATATTTCCCTTGAGGAAAAAAATTAGCTTACTTTTAAAACAGAAGCAGCCATTTAACCTTGTTCAGTTACAAAGATTTTAAAGCAATTTTTTCTCTAGATAAATGTTCACAAACTATAAATATATTTTAAAAGCTCAGAACTTTATTTTAGCTATTTAAACCAGCTTTTTTCCCTCCAACTTCTAAGTGATTTATTCCTTTCAATTTTAATATATTATTTATTTTACATATCAGCCTGGTGGTTAGTTGGATATTTCAGCCTGCTTACCTATTAATACTAATACTCATTTCTACATATAATTTTAAGTGTATTTAAAATGTAATACATGTTTGTGGCAGCCCCTTCCTATAATTATCACTGGATTAAAATTAGAATTCATAAAATCATTTGAAATTATTTATGTTTAAAATAACTCAAATTATCAGAGTTACCAACTAAAACATAATTTTTATTACCACAGGGAATTTTAAACACTGTATCTGTGAGATTTGGAAGATGTATATCAAATAACTTGACTGAAATCACAAATTAAGTAATTTATCATTGAACAGGAATATTTAAGTCAATAAGAAACCAAAATCTTATTTTTCATAATTTCACCATAATTTTATTTTGTATTTACAGCCTTCAATTTCTAACACAAGGGTCTTACTGAGGATTGGAGGGATTAGGGAGGTGAGATGGGGTTTGGAGAAGAGGAATCAGAGGTCTTATATGGGCAACAATCATTAATAAAGTTAACAGGATGTGAAAGTCTTCCAGAAGAAATTCTTGCAGCCAGCTTTGCGTTCTCGGGGTGCCATGGCCGGGTTGGAGTTAGCAGATCTCTGCAGCTCCAGCCTCATTTCATCCTGCTCAGCAGCCTGGGACAAATCTTCAGGCTCCAGGGCATCGTTCTCTGTCTGGTTGGGTTCAGACAGCAGCTCTGCCAAGAAGTACTTGGCCAGTTCCTGCATGGGGTGGAAAGAAGACAGAAAGAAAGAGGATGAAAATTAGGATGGTGAAGAAGAAAAAACAGAAAAGCTTGGTTTGAAATGCAGGTTTAACCACAACCAAACCCCAATTTTCCCAGCTGTGGACTTTTTGTGACACTTAAAATCAGTTATGGATGTAAAAATTCAAGGGCTGTTGCTACAACCACCAAGTTACACAAAGAAGCTTTAAAAACTGAAATGTTTGGGCGAGTTTTCTGCTTCTGTAGGTTTAAAACACACACAAAGAAGGAAATAGATCATTAGTTCTGCAAAGGTGAAACATAAGCCAACAGTTTAACTCAATGTCCATATCATGAGCTACAAACTAGAATTGTTCTTACCGTTTTTGCTAAGTCACCTGTTGGGAAATGAGACCTTTCACAACCGTAAACATGTTATGTTTTGGCTGTACAGTGCCCTGTAGCCCCCAGTCCCGCTGCATGGGAGGGAGGTACTACCTAGCCGCTTCAGAGGTCCGCGCTTTCAGCACCTGGGTCAGCACCTCCCGCGGTCAGCACCTCCCGCGGTCAGCACCCGGGAGAGATGCCATCATCCCTTCGAGCTCAGTTAACCAAGGTCTTGGAATTGTTTCGAATGCCAAAGAACTCACCTGAACTGTGACCTACTGCGCTAATCGGGAAAGGAAAAAAAAAAAAGGTAAAAAGGTATTCTGGACTTTGAAAGTTTTCCCGAGAGTTTTGGTGGCTAAGGGACCCAAAAACACACCGGCATTCTGGGAGCACCTCAAATTCACCCAAGGGAGCAGGGGCAAGGCTTGGGAAGGTTAGGGGATTCGGGTGAGGGGAAGGAAGACGTCGAGGGAGTCTCCTTACCTGCTTGCCAGCGGCAGCAGCCAGGGATTTCTGCAGAAACTGACGGAGTCGGGGATCCGAGGGCGCGCCGGTGACGCCGCCAAGAGCCAGGACGATGGAGAGTGCGGCCAGCGCGCACTGGAGGCGGCAAGACAGCATCTCGGCGGCGGCGGTGAAGCCGAGCTAGAGTGCGGTTGGTCAAACTCTAGGAGCTGATCGCAGGCAGCAGCGACGGCTGGAACCTTGCCTCTCCTAAAGCGGCTTGTGTGCTCTCCTCCGGCTCCCCCTTTTTAAACTCTCTCTCTGACGTCAGACGAGGAGGCGCCCCCAGATCTCACCAGCGCTTTTACGCACCATTACCCTCGTGAAATCAATCACAGAAGTGAGAGGAGGCTGCACAATCAAAAGTAGCTTATTAAAAAAAAATAAATCCTGTACATGCACAGGCCCACGCGATTCCACACAGGCCGCTCCATCTACACAATTTTTTATATTCACTCAGTGCTATGCACATACACATTCCGTAGTTTCACTCACACATGTGCACATTCAGTTACACACACTCAAACACTCAGCCTCTGCAGAAGCAAATGCACCATCACACCTAGCTGCATGCCCATAAATATACCAGACAACTCTATCCATCATCATACTCAAACACTTTAGGGGAAGCAAAAGCAAAAGTATGCGAGTGTAATAAGTGGATACTGTCAAGAGCATTCCTTGTGACAATGAATGTCAGAGCATTCCTCTAAGAACAGATTTGAAAATGGAATGTGGATTTTAGAAAGATTGAATTCTCTTTCTCTGTTATCTCTGTGAAAAGTCTTGTAGATTAAGAAGTCATGGGGCTCTAAAAAAACTTCACTTCTTATAATGGAGAAGAAAGTACCTTAAGTTCACCCACTATCCCTCTTTCTCAGCAGCTGAAACAGTTTTAGTCTACCTGCCTTTCCACTGTGACCCTCCCCTGCAAAAAATGCTAAAGGAAAAAAAGAAAAATTGATTTCATTTTTGTCCTTGATACTTGGAACTAGAAAGAAGTCTCAGAAACCATCTACTAAACCCCAGAATTTGAGTCATTGAGCCTAGAAATGGGCAATGAAATTCTCTGACTCACATAGTGCACAGCTGGGGCCAGGACGAGTCCTCCACACTTTAAGGCCAGGGTTCTTTTCACTCAACTCTGAGTTTCCTAATAGGTTCCTGACTAGTAGTAGCAGTTTTAGGTCAGCGGCTCCCAGTCTGAACATACAGAAGTCCAAGAACCCCTGAACATGTGTGACCATTATTGTATGTTTCTGTGCAAGAACAGCATTGAGAGTACTCCCCCGCTCCTCTCACAAATAAAAAGGAAGTTTGAGAAATGCTGGTCTAATTCTAATGTGGTCTGGTTAGATGTTTGCTGTCCTGATCAGAGTTCTGGCAGCTTATTTCCTTTTTTTTTTTTTTCTCCATGAAATAATTCCTTATCAGGGAATGGCCAGATGAAACCTGCAGGCTCTTCTGGGACTTACAGTTTATAAGCTCCAAGCTCATAAAAGCTAAAATAAATTACTGTATCTCTAGAAACCAAGTGAAGCAGGGAACATGACTAACCCTGTCTCCAGCCAGGCATCACATACGTATTCTCTGTACTAGACCAAGACAGCGTTAAGAGGCAGGAGGGACTGGGAGGTGTACTGAATGGCTTGATTAGTTGTCACCTTTTCCTTTTGTATCTGCAAGCAAAGAGGAGGAGTGCCAAAGTTTCCAGGGCTTGGTGAGTCCAGACAAGGCTAAGTGAAGCATTAAAAAGTCTTATCTCACAAAAGGAGATAAGCTTTTGAATGCAGTTTTTGGCCTTCTTACAACCCTGAATATTTATTGCAAGGACTGATACTGAAGCTGAAGCTCCAATACATCGGCTACCTGATGCAAAGAGCTGACTCATTGGAAAAGACCCTGATGCTGTGAAAGATTGAAGGCAAAAGTAAAAGGGAGCCACAGAGGATGAAATCATTGGTTAGCATCACTGACTCAATGGACATGAGTTTGAGCAAAAACTCCCGGAGAGAGTGAAAGACAGGGAAACCTGGAGTGCTGCAGTCCATGGAGTCTCAAAGAGTCAGACATTAATCTCTTCCTCTCTTAAGGTCCTCTTACCATTTCTTCCTCTTTCCTTCTTAGCACTTTCTCATAAAAAATGTTTATGATCTTTAGCGGTTTAAGTAGTCACTTCAGATCAGTAAGTCTGGGTTACTTTTCTCATTTCCTTGCTGAAGTGTTGAGTCTGTGGATAAGATGACTTCTGGGCTTTTTGTTTTGATTAGTTTTATAATCCTTAAATTATTAGGAGTCTAGAAGCCACTTAAGAAAGAAGAAGAACCAAGACAAAAGGGGATGCAAATTCTTCCTTAAGTCCCCCACTCATGACCAAATTTTGCATAAAGCTTAATTTAGCACAAAGACACTTGAAACTTTCCCAAGCCGAGCTCTTTACAGCCAAATTCCCAAAGGCCTCACTCCCAAGTTCCAAAGGCGGGGAGGGGGAGACTCTTTGTGTTTGTACTGAGGACCCCCACTTCCTTGATCACCAGAAATGATTCCTCTCATCCTTATTCAGCCTTCTGTTGTTCACCAAGTACTTTCTCACCCAGTATGGCAGGGCACGCTAGCCCCATCTCACAGAGAAGTCCCTGAGAGCACAAGTGCCTCGCTAACAGGCACAGAGGCAGGAAGTGGCAAAGTTGCGTCCCTGCTCCCCTGACTCAGAAATATTTGCAGCCAGGATACAACTACTTTGAGGGAGGCATCCAGGACTCTTTCAGGTACTACTCTCGAGCCAGGATCTCATTCCCCGCTTCCCTGTGGAATGTGCATTAGGGGGAGACTACATGTCAATATGAGAAGCAAAACTCATTTTAATAAGAGACAAGAAAATCTGTGAGCACTCAGATGTTCAATATTAAGCAGTGCAGGGAGGAAGAGCACTTGGAATCCAGAGACCTGGGTTCCGGTTCTGCTCCTGTCCAGCTGCGGGCTTCTTCTCTGGGCCTTAGTTTCTTCATCTGCAAAACAGAAGGGTTGATAGGTGATCTTTGTGAGTCTTTCTAGCCCTGACAATCAACAAGCTTGAGTCTGCGAAAAGTAAGAGGCAAACTAGAGCATACTGTAACATGCTGTTCCTTTCTCAACTTGAGAACTTCATATTGGAAAAGGAGCTGTCTTTTATGTAATAGGGGAGAAGCCAGATGCAGTGGGCATTTCACAGGCCTATAAGAAGGAAAATTAGCTCTTGCATCTTGCTTCTGCTACTGACCTGCCCCTTCCCACCTGCACCTCAGTTTCTCCATCTGGAAAATTGATTTACTCCAATTCTTTCTACAAATAAGTGCCAAGAATCTGCTCTGCTTGAGAGGTTGTATGATACTTTAGTAGTGAACTATATAGACAAAGTCCTAGTGAGAAAAACAAACAGAAAACTTATCAATTAATTAATATATGTTCAAATTGATTAAAATTAAAACAAGTCAGATCACGTAGAGCCTTGAAGATCATGGTAAGAAAACCACTGGAGGATTTTGAGCAAGGGATTGACCTAATTTGAATTTTTTTAAGTAATTCCTTCTGCTGAAGTAAAAAATTAACTGTAGAACAGCAGAGTCGGGGAGATGACTTAGGAGTCTAAGAACCATTTAAGAGAAAAGAGGAGCCAAGATGAAAGGGACACATTCTCCCTTAAATACCCAAGCCAGTTATCCTGGCATAAAGTCATTTCATACCTCCAACATGAACCTTCTGTAGCCAAGGGAAAGCACAAACCAGGGAAGATGGTTTGTGCTTGTTTTGGGGACCTTACTGCCCAGACTAGTTAAGGCAAGAGAAGATGGTTTATGGGCAAGAGGGACAACTATGAAGGAGCTGAGCACTGGTTACGTTTGAAGTTTATTTTGAAGTAGAGTTGACAAGACATGCTGATGGTTTGTTTGGATCTCAAGTTAAGGAAATGAGAACAATTGGTAACAAGTGATCTAGACATTCCCTAAAATGTTTTCAAGTTCCACAAATTCCTGAGAGTACAGAAAACGGATTTCTGACAAAATCTCCTCTTGGACATTTTATAAGTGAAAAACCATTTTATTTCTCAGTCAGAAGAGAGTGAGAATTACAGGTGGTGGGGAGAAGCAAGATGGAATAATGGAAAAGTCCTGGCCTGGATGTCTGAGGTCTTAGACGTAAGTTTCAGTTTTCTCTTGCTTAAAATGGGCCTGATAATTCTTGCTTTTGCTAGGATTTGAGATCCAGGTCAGACAGTGTAAGTGACAGTGCTTAGTTATCCATAAGATACGATGAGAAGATAAAGTGCTGTTTTTGTTGTTGCTGCCCAGAGGGAGGCCGTCAGCCAGCACCAAGGGGTGATATTCCATAAGTCAACCTCTGAAAGCTGAAGTGTTCTCACTGGTGCTCTGACCTGGCTAGACAGTCAGGCCTTCCTCTGGGGACCCCCATCTGCTGGTCCAGAAAGATCTCTCAAGAAATGCAGTAGACTGGTGCTGAAATCCATCTATTAGAATTAGTCTGTGAGCATCAGACTCTTAGAAAATAGTCTCTTCTCTCATGTACTTTTCCTTGAAGATATAGCACCTTAAAACTTCACAGTTATTAACACTTTAATGTGAATTTATATGCTGAATTATTTTCTTGCTTAGAGCTGCCTAAAGGACAGTTTTGACTTAAGTAAAGCTAGGAGATCAACTTGGAGTGGGTGATTCATCTTGTAGAGGGCAGACTTATTGGGAAGTGTTGTTGGGGATGCAAGCAGGCGATAGGAAGCACATAGACTCCTTTTGCCCAAGGGCAAGTGTGCTTGGGTGAGAATACCCTAAGGACCTTTCCTTCTAGACCAATCCTACCACCATGGGGCATGAAAATAAGAACTTGTGATTCTCTGAGGACTTCTGTGAAGCTAGATTTCAGCTGGAAGAGTCCCAGCTCATGCCGCTGAAATTGCTGGTGGTAGAAGAGCCAGATTTTTCTACCAAGTTGGCTTTCACAAACTTCCACAAGGAGCGTCCCTGGTAGCTCATAAGATAAAGAAAACTGCCTGTAACGTAGGAAACCTGGATTCAGTCCCTGGATCTGGAAGACTCCCTGGAGAAGGGAGTGACTCTGCCCAC